GCGGTGGATGGGAGGAGGCATGCGTAAAAGTAATAGAAAATTCCAGGAAAGTCAACAACGAGAAACGATTCTCTTTTTTTCCTCTCTGGCAGACACAACCCCACTCTCGAGCGACCAAATACCAAATATGCCACCTTGCTGGGGATCCCCTCGTACCACCTACCCTGATCTCAATGCCTTGTTGTAAGAACTGTTAGCGGAAGAGTGTCTGAGAAAGTGCCAGAAGTAATTTGTTCCATGAACCAGATAAAGTCCGTAGGGCAGAATTTGACGGAAAACTGCGTAATCATTCGAAGTGATTTTGATTCCAGGAGCAAGCCGACCATACTCGATCTTCGTCATGTGCGTGAAGTTCAGACGTTGGATTTCAAATTATCGGCAATTCAAATAGGAGACAAATGGAAAAGAGATCGGGAAATCCAGAACTTTGATCCGTTGAAAATACTCGTTATTTCTCACGGCACGCAGTTCACTCTTAAGGAATGGACGCTGTTGTGTGAGTTTCCGCGCTGCTTTCCCTCAACTCGGCTTGGCTAATTTCTCAGAAGATCCAGCCCATCGTGTGGGCGGGGCCAGGTCTGCCAACAGTCCCCGCTTATCGTGTGGGCGGAGTCGGGACTACTTCTTGCGCCTTTGTCATTGGCGTGGCGTGCATGTTTTTTACCCTCTCAGAGAGGAGGAAGATACTAATGGAAGGGCACAGTGGTAGGCTTGACTCCGCCCAGATCAGTAGCGTGGACCGTGAGTTTGATGAGAGGCTATTTGTGGCCCTTTTTGGCCTTTTTTACAAGATTATGCCTCCTGGTGTTCGGGGCTAGCCGAACCAATATGCAAACAGTGATGCTCTTCCCCTTGAGGTCTTTTCGGTCTATTAGTCTGAGGTCTGAGGCAATCCATAAGGTTTTTCTGTGACTTGTGGGATTTCTGGCCCTTTACTTAGAATGCAAGAGAACCTTTACTGGGCTGTTTGATAAATTGCTGAGAATTAGGTCTGCTGGGTCCTTTTGAGACTTTGTACTGGGCTAGAGGGAACCGCTATATATGCAAAAAAATTTAATTTCAGTCGAATCAGCTGAAGCATGTCGCCTTTGGTGCCAGGGTGTCCACAACCTTATGCTCGACACACGTGATCGGTTCATTTCCAGTCATACAGCCCGCATTGAACGTTTTATCGCCAAACATTTCTACAACCTTGTTACTCCAGGGACTGAATTGTAAGTTGCTTGATCCTCCGTTCAATCATGAACCGCTGTCAAAAGCGCGTTCATACTTTGCGTCGGCGTTTCGATTGTACGGCAGCGTTTCGAGCGTAGGAAAGTATAAATATTCGTCCAGCATTCTGAAAGTACGCCAACGTTCTCAGCGGCTACCAAAGGGAGCGGTTTGGCGACGGAGGGGGGATGTTGCGCTTTTGCAAAGTCCCATCAACCGTGTCGACCAGTCTAGAAAGCTATTTCATGAGCTTACAAGAGTCGACAGGTTTAACCATAGTGGCTCGATGATCTGCTCCAGCTTCATAGGAGTTTACAGGTTTCACCAGAGTGAGACTTGTAAACCGGTAAACTGTGAACTAACGAAGCAGCGAGAGTGCAAACCGCCCCCACCCCCGTCCCCGAACTGCGCCCTACGAAAGTTAGGTAGACCAAATGCCTCCGTGCCAAATGCGGTACCGATCAGCGATGCCTGCGCTCGAAGCGCTGACGCAAAGTATGAACGCATTCTAAGTGCAAGATTTCAGTGTGGCCAGGAAACATATGAAGCCATTTGTCCAGACATCTCTTCAATATAAGGTTTCATCGAGGCAACTGCAGGAGGTGACCGAGGACCAAATGAATTTATTACAGTTCTCACAAGCAACCAGGAATTTCATCCACTCACAGACGGTTAGGAGAATGTTCTTCCACGGTTATGATACGCGGGCATTGTTTAGCCTTTACAACCTCACTCTTCATAATTTTGGCTGGATTTTTACCGAAAATTCGTCTCTAAAGGTCCACTCGGCCAGAGATTTGCTCAAGGGTAGTTTGATCCCCCAACATGAACACCACATTTTTAGCTCAGAAACGCTAGGGTTCTTAGCAGGGGCGCTTAGCGCTTTTGCGTCAGTCTTACGGGAATGTGATGTTTGTGCCCTCAAGGTCGTCGAAGCTAGGCGACAAGTGTTTGAGTGAATTCGACGGTTGAAGGTATTTTGAAACTTTTGCCTGTAGTACCTTAGCCAGGTCCCTGTTCAGGGGGCCCACTCTATTCCCGGAGACAAAGTTCTAGCCAATCTGCTTCTAGGCGCAGACTCCAATGAAAATAAAGCTTAGAGAGTGGGGCAGTGAAAGGGAAAGTAATGCTTTCAAACTTATTCCTGAGCACAATTTTCAGCTCTTTGCGTCTCGCTTTGCTGAGCTTGCCCCGGACGGAAACATCGTGAAATTTGAAAGTTTCATGAAATTTCTTGAGAATATGCAAAGCGATTCGTTGAGTTCGAATCGTTCACGAGTTGTCGACTTCCTTAGAAGGTATTTTTTATATAGTAACTTTTCCTTTCGTTTTTGGTCTCAACATCTCATTTTTTGGATTCCTGAATGTGGACGACATGCTAACAGATGATATTCCCATGGAACCTTCTTTGTCTGTTATGGAGGTAAGTGTACTGTGCATCCTGAACGTCACCTTCATCAAAGAGACTAAATCATACGGAATATATGACACAAAAAACCACTGAGCTGAGCGGGTAAGAGTGGCCCTGGAAGAGTAATGGATAACGCAACAGGCCGGTGACTGGGAGATGAGAGTTCGAGTTCCTTCTGGGCTTTGACTTTTCCCCATAATTCAGCACTCTAGTGATAACTTTCGGAGCGCTCACCGTGGTGATAAACAGCAGTTATCAAACTTAAAAAACCGCCGGGCCCTATTTGGGATTTCTCGTTCCCCTCTTCACAGCTATGCCAGCTTCATCTAAAAATCCTTTTCCGACCCCACACCGTACGACTTTTAGTCGCCAATGTGTGCTTAAATATTAATATTTCAAGCTACTCTGCATTATATTTCAAGGTACTCTGCATTATTTGCTGCTATCGGGTTTTCTGATATGAGTGACTGATGTCCACTGGACGTTCTTCAGGGAGAAATTTTGCAAAATACGACTTCTACCCTCAAAGCTCCCTCCTCTTTACGATCTCCCTCCCTTCCCAATCCAGCCTGTCAATTCTCCGAATTATCCACTTTTTCTCCAAAAAAAACCCGCATGCTCATGATATGTATGTTTTCAGTTCTGTGATTTCCTGTTTTCCCGCGAAAATTCGTTGTGGGATTCTATGAACGAGAAAGTTATTCAAGACATGACGAGACCATTGTCGCACTACTGGATCGCCAGTAGTCACAACACGTGAGTCGTTTTAAAAATAAAGCACGCAAAGAATCCTACGGTAATTAGAAAAGATGGTTTCCTGGACTTTGGGAAGATCAACTAGCATAGTTGGTTCCCTTGTAGTTGCTTAGTGACTTGATTCAGGTACCTTACTGGTGATCAACTTCGTTCAGACTCCTCACTGGATTCGTACGCTCAAGCGTTATTGATGGGATGTCGCTGCATAGAATGTAAGCTTAGAATCCATTACAGAAATAATATCGGTTAGCACAAGAATGCTGAGTTATGGGCAAAAGTCGTGCCCCAGGCGGGAGTCGAACCCGCACCTCACGCTTTCCGGGCGAGTGCGCTATCCGTTACGCCACCAGGGCCGCTTTTACCCTCTCAGCTTAACGGCTGACCGGCTCACCAAGTTAAACGTGTGAGTGCTGTAAGGTTACGGCATAAGCCGTTAAGCTGAGAGGGTAAAAGCGGCCCTGGTGGCGTAACGGATAGCGCACTCGCCCGGAAAGCGTGAGGTGCGGGTTCGACTCCCGCCTGGGGCACGACTTTTGCCCACAACTCAGCATTCTTTAACATTCGGAACGCGTACTGCGGCGTTATAGCAGTTATCATAACAAAACAGCTTCGAAAACTATTTTGATAATTGATTTTTGAGTTCTTTCCTTAGTTTTCATGTCCCAGAGACGCTATAAAGGTGGGTGGGGCAGTATTTGTTTATTGTTGAGGAAGGGGATCGTTTGCCCTCCGGTCTTCTGAGAAGGTGTTGATTTTACAGGGTTCTCCTGTTTCTTGATTTTACAGGGTTCTCCAGTTTCCTTGATTTTACAGGGTTCTCCTGTTTCATATGTACCATATATGCCTCCCCCTCCTCCCTCGCCCACTCCGCAGCAAAATTTTCGGGAAATTCCGGAGAAACTGGTAGGAAATTGGGAAAATCGAGGGGGTAGGTTGCATGGGGTACGGAGGTCGTACGGACTCGACCAAAATCCGCAGCTGATGATGTGCCCTGGTTATGGCACCGGCGCGTGAAGACTGGACTCCGAGCTGTTTCATGCCATGTGGACATGATTCCCATATTTAGGAGGTTGAACTGCTCTTGCAAACCGATTTCAAACCA